AGTAGTTATTCATACATACTGATTTCACTACTTGGATATTAGCTAGGAAGTATTTTTGAAGAAAAACAAAAATGTTTAATGCAAGAGAATTCAGATGACAGAGTAGGGAACAACAAGAATCTGTCTCCCAACCTGGACAGCAATTGCACTGGCGGAATCTGATGTAACAGTTTTGGAGCCCTGGAGTCTCTTGAAGGCTTTCAACTTCTAAGAGAAGCTTTGGTGGTAAATTGCAGTTGATTTTGGTCAATTTCAGCTCTTAGTACAGTAGCAGCTACCCAGCCCCCACACCGCCCCCCCGCCATTGCCAATCTACTGGCAAGGCAGCTGTGCATGTGATCCTGGAGCAGCCTGCTCACAACCTGCAGGAGCCAAGGTAGGCAAGAAGGACCCTGTCCTCCATATATTGGGGATCTGCCCTCCTCTTACTGGTTACTGCTTCTGAACACAGGTACGGAAAAAAGGTGAATGACCATTGTTGTACCTCCCACAATTATTGCAGGCCCCTTCCTTGAAGTGACTTTAAGGGGATTTAAAGGGCTGGTGCCCTTCCCTCTGCCCTGCATTTTTCTCTTTTTTCTCTTTTGGGAGCCAGACATTAAAGAATAGAACAAAAACTTAACAAAACTACTGTATATGTGAGGAAAATTAGAAAGTGAGCATACATGCTCAGGGAAAGACTCAGAAAGACCCTAGAAGAACTTAAGTTTATATACCAGGCCCATCCTCATCATAGACAGCCTGCAACAATCAGAACGAAAAACAGCAAACCTGATTTCCAGAGTTACCACATTATTAGATTCAAATGTCCATTTTTCAACAACAACAAAAAAAAATCACAAGGCATACAAAGAAATAGGAAAGTATGAACCATTCAAAGGGAAAAACAAACAGAATCTGTTCCTGAAAAAGACTTGATGACAGATCTACTAGACAAAGACTTTAAAACAGCTGTCTTTAAAAGCTCAAAGAACTAAAGGAAGATGTGGAGAAAGTTTAAGAAGGAGTGGTAATTGGCTAAAGAAACTGTGGTACATATATACAATGGAATATTACTCAGCCATAAAAAGAGATGAAATACTGCCATTTGCAACAACATGGGTGGACCTTGAAATAATCATACTAAGCGAAATAAACCAAACAGAAAAGGTTGAAAATCACATGGTATCACATATGTGGGATACAAACCTAAAACCTAAAAGCAACAAATGAACAGGACAAACAAACAGAGACTCATGGACATGGACAATGGACTAGTGGTTACCAGAAGGCGGGGAGGAAGGAGGGAGAAAATAAAAAAATAAAATGTTAAGAAAAAATTATGTATGTGTAATATGAAAAAAATAATAAACTGGCATTTAAAAAAATAAAATACAAAAGAAGAACTGGTATTCTTCTTTAAATGTTTGATAGAATTACCAATGACACCATCAGGTCAAGGGCTTTAGGATGAACAATGTCCTTTTGCCAGGATGTTTTTTTCTTAAATTTGCCTTTCTTCATCATCAACGAGAGTTTTGAAAATAAGGTTAGGGATAAAGAAAGCTACTCACTTCTAAAATCTATCAGTCCAAGGTGTGAATTCATAGTATCAACCAAGCCAATTGGACTCTTTTTCTAGAATAGCTAGAGAAATCAACTTTTTATTTATTTTTATTATAAACTACCAATAGGCATTCCCTGTCACAGAGAAAAACCTGAGAAAATGAGGCTAAAACATAGACAAAAGCTGAGACAAGGGAATAGCAAAGAATCTTGAGTTTTTTAATGTAGTGATGAAATAAAAGTATTTCTTCTCTAGGAAAAAAAAATTTGATAAAACATTAATTTCCTCTTTAAGAATGGAAGTTAACTTCTTAACAGTAAAATTTATTACCTAAATAAAAAACTAAAATAAATTGTCTCCCCCAGAAATGCAGTTTTCTTTTGGCAACTTTTCACAAGCTCTTCTCAAGAAAGTAAAAATTCTCCTAGTGCAAATAAACTTATTAGTTTACTCCTCTTTTACACAAGTGAAAACTTTAATTGACTTTACTCCTTCTAATGTTTGTGAAAAACTGTTTACCTAAATTAGATGTCACAAAATAACTTGTGAAAATTAGAGATGGTTTTTAATTGAAAGATTATGTTGTTATTGTTTTTATGCAACAGTAAGCTTCCTAAGCTTTTCATAAAGGTACATTGTATTCAAAGACTCTAAAACTACTCTACTGCAGTAGTTTTATCTATCCTACTGTTCTCTTCCTACTACAGTAAAATTTTAATAAAATTATTTTTAACAGTTTTTGCCCCCAAAGCCCAAACACGTTGCAATGTTTTTTGTTTTGTTAAATTTTTCTTCCTCACAGTTGACACTAAAGCTAGTTTTACAAGGTCTTCTCTGGCTTTAGTTACGTGAGTAGGGTTTCCTTTTAGCTTAACTAGATAGAGTTTTTATTCTTTGCACCTGAAAGAGTTTTAATAAAACTACTTGCTTGGTCTCATCCTCCATACATAGGGCTTTTTCCAGATCATCAGAGAGTAGCTATGACAGCAGGATTCTAGATCTTGGGTCTTAGACAAACACCATCACCCTATTTCAAAATGACTAACCTTTTTTTAATCCCCATAACCCTGAAAAAATATATTATGATCCCAATAGTAGCACTATTAATGTCGCACTCAAATCTCCTAGATATGTTTCTGATTATGTTGTAGGTATCCTAATGTATGTATCTATATCTCTCCACCTCACAGCTTTCTCTTGGCTAGCCTGGGGCAGGCAAGTAGTGCTAAGGAACCCCTAGAAGCAGCCCTTAGCCATGATGAAAAGAAGTCGAAGAATAAATATTCTAGCTTCCTCGCTCATTGGATTGAATAACTCTGAGATGTGTTCCACACTTTCTACCAAAGGTCCCCAGGGCATGAAGTTCTATTTGCCCACAATTAAAAACCACTCACTTCCTTCTCTTTCTTTACTTACTTCTGCACTACTCTTTTGGTAATTCCTGGGATCACCTCCCAGTGAAATGTTGTGCACCAAAATCCTTTCTCAGGGTCTGCTTCTGGGGAAAACCCGATTTCAAATACTTCATTTTGCAGCTTAGGAAACTGAGATTTGGAGAGGTTAAATAACTTGTTCAATATCACACCTGTATTAGATGTAGACTCTGCACTTCAAACCCAGGAATTTCCTAGATCTGGGACCCATACTTGCCTCTCTGACACATGGCTTCTGAAATATAAGCATTTATACACATTAGATAATCTATTACTGACTAAAATGCAACTGACATTCAAAGGTTTAAATTTCTGGCTCAACACCAAAAGGCCCTATTCATGATCAGATCTATGCATCTCTTACCAACTCATCTCCTATCTTGCCCCACAAACCTCTTTCATTTACTGTTGCACATTCCTGTGCTTTTGCAGTTCTACAGCCTCAAACACCTGTTGGGTGTGGGCTTTGATTTTACCCTGCTCTCAAGCTAAAAATTACCTTGCTGCTTTTTCATGTGGCAGAAGACTAGACTCCTAAATCAGAGACAAAGGACCTTATGGCCACATAGCAAGCAGCATAAGCATTAGTATGTTTGTATTGATTCTCCCTTGCCTTCCAAGTCTCATGGGGCAATGCAGTATGGACCCAAATGGATACCTCATATGTGGTGGGTTTTTATCATAGTTAAGAAACGTCGAACTTGAAGAACTCACCATTTTATAGCACTGAGAAAGCAAGACTGCTCTTTACCCTGGAGAGAAGCATTACCTTATCCCTCAAGGTTGTTCACTGCAAACAAAACCCCCAGAAATGGCCCTGGTAAAGAGTAGTCCAAACTCTTCACTTTTCATGTCTGAAACTAACAGTTCTTCAGGATTCATCAGTTTTTACTCATTTACACTGACCTTGGTTTCCATAACTTTGAATAGGAGACTTAATACAAGTAGTTAAGAATATTCTAGAATAGTGCAGTTTTTGTTACTTTATAAAAGTTTTCTGTTTGAAAGATATAGTAAACTTTGTGATGTGAGACCAAATTAAAAGAATTGATTTAGCAGATTTGATTTAAACCGTGCATATTTTATTGTCTTTGTTGTTTTGGAAGTGCAGTGCAAAATATTGGTTTACAACTTTAACACCTAGGTCTCTAATACTGTTTTTAAACTTTTTCCAGAAGGGATAAGAGTATAGTAATGTCCCCACTTAATGTCGTCAGTAGATTCTATGACTTTAAGCGAAATAGTGTATAACACAAGCAATTTTACCATAGGCTAATTGTTAAAAATGAGTAAAGCGAGTGGAAAGTAAAGAGTTCAGAAGTACTGTTAGTTTCAGACATGGCTGGTGTGATGGGTAATTTTATTTGTCAACTTGACTGGGCTAAGGGATGCCCAGATAGCTGGTAAAACATTATTTCTAGGTGTGATGTCTATGAGGGTGTTTCTGGAAGAGATTTGCATTTGATTCAGTAGATGGAGTTAAAGAGATTCACCCTCACTAATCTGGGCAGGAATTATCCAATCTTTTGGGGGTCAAATAATCCAAAAAAGTAAAGGCAGGGCAAATTCTTCTTGAGCTGGGATGTCCATTTTTGCTGTCTTTGGACATTGGAAGTCCAGATAGATTCTCAGGCCTTTGACCTTGGACTGAATTATACCACTAGCTTTCCTGATCCTCTGGCTTGCAGACATTCAGATTGTGAGACTGCTCAGCCTCCATAACCATGTGAACCAATTCCTATAATAAATCTCCTCTTAGATATAGATAACAAACAATTTTTAAATGGAATTTAAAATTGAAATAAAATTAAAAATAAAATTCAATATCATAATTCCAGGGCAATAGAACAAATACACAAAAATGTTTTTAATGTTTTATTACGATAACAGAGTGGTAGCCATAAATTGTCATCTCTTAGGAATGCATGAAGAGAGACATGACATGCAATTCTTTTAGATCCAGTTTCAATTATATAAGTGTATCATAAGTTTTCAGTTTTTATTATGGATAGATACACCATTCAGAATTTAATTGCACATGTAAAAAGTTTTAAAGCTGTTATTTTGTCCATAATTTCATATGCTCCTATCATAGTTAGTGACCGAGTTAGTTGATCTCTTAAAGCAGCCGTGGTTAGTGACAAGTTGTTACTTTCCATTTTCCACCTATCAAGTGCTTGGAGGACTCTCTCACTTAATGAAACAGTGCTGAAAAATTTTTAAATAATTATTTAAGGAACATTGTTTTAAACTATCTAAATATTATATATCTAGGTTTTTAAACCAATTTACCAGATTGAAGTGAGGATTAAATTAATTGGTAAAGCTAGTTCATTTAAAATTTTAGCACGGAGTCTAGCACATAGAAAGTAAATGTTACCCCAATCCCCTCCGCCCCGCCCCCCCACTTGCTTCCTTGTAGAAAATCGATAATTCAATTAACATTCGATTCTGAGAGATTTACTCAAGACCTCAAACAATAATTATGGATATTTACTATAAACCAGTACATTACTACTACAGTACTACATGCTTTATAACTTGAACACGTGATAGCTCTCTTAGGTAAATATATCCACTTTACCTATGAAGAAACTGAAGCACACGGAAGTTAAAGGACTTTTCCAAGTTCACAAAACCAGTTGGAATTTAAAGCCAAGCAATCTGTCCTCAGAGCTCTTGCTCTTAACTACTGCATATACCAGCATGGATCCCAAATGTATAATAAACTAAAATCAGTCTTTTACAGCAAATTAGAGTTCATGTTAATGTGAATATTTCACAACCATGTAATGTTAATATTACATAATATTACATGAGAATAAGCTTATACCACATGTTATCATTCATACATACCTTTTTGTAGACATATCAGTTTCTGAGATTGGCAGGTTCAATTTTTGACACAAAAATTGAAAATTTGTTTCAGTGATGTTGTTGGCAACTATCTTGAAGATCTTCTCTAAGATTTTCTCTACATTTGAACATAAAAGAAAATTTAGGCCATCACTTTTGAAAATCATATTTTGTTAATATTATATCCAGTTTCTTACTTCTGTGCACCTACCAAATATATATGTCAATTAAAACTGAAGTGTAAAATGCAGACTTAATATACAAACTGGCTTTTTAATATGCTTCTTTATGTACCATCTTGAGAAGCCAAGTTCACATCTACTATAAATATTGTATATATATATGCATATTTTATATTCAAATCACTCATTTAATGAATGTTGGTTAGATATAAGTAGAAAGTTTTTAGTTTTAAAAAAAAGCTTTTAGCTAATTTGAACTATAGTCATTTTTTTTTGTTGGCCCAAGGTACTTTGGAAATTTTTAAGAATGAGTGCTCTCCCCTCCTCCTCCCCCACTCCCTGCCCCCATAATCATCTCAAATATGTTCTATGCTTTCTGGGTTTTTTAAATTTTATTTATACCAATAATTCCTCAATCTAGATTATATGCTAATGATATAAATAAAAAACAATCTTCTAAATAAAACTTTAAAGAAAGGACCCCATGTTCTTTGTTAATTGCACGATAAATACATCTTCCATGATGACTTCCTCTCTACTCTCTCACCAAGCCTGCAGTACAAAGGCCCCTTTAGCATAAGGAAAGGACATAATTGTCTGGGATCCTCTTGTTTTTACTGACTTTGACCTGTTTCCGTTGCCTATTGTACTGTCCCAACAGAGGCTAGAACCACATGAATCCTCCGTCCTCAAGAACTAGAGTAACAGAATTTTAGCAAGGAGGTTTAATCATGAACTTGACAGGCCTTCTCTAAAGTACTCTTACCTAACAGGAATTATTTATGGAAATAAAAACTTTATACTAAAGCAATAAAGTTACCACAAAATGTCCCTTTTTTACGATAATAATTGGCAGAACCGACTTGCATAGCAAGTTGAAAAAATCAGCTACTACTGTGGCTTTTAATTTTATCTCTTAGGTTTTTTCCATCAGTGAGTCCTGAGTCTTGCAAAAGCTTCTGAACAGTAGCCAAGTCTATTGATGTATATTGTGGCTTACAGAGGAGTGTACATTTTAAGTGACCATCTCACTAGATTATGAGATTATACTGATGTAAACTCCTGATTACATAGACAGGATACATGATAGAATAATGTTGAAGGACAGTTTTGAATATTTCCTTTCTCCAAATCTGGAACAAGACTTATTAATTTAATACTTCTTAAATACTGCATTAAATTGGGAGACCAAAATCTATATCCATTCTGAAGATTAACAATGAACAACAAAGTCAGAGTCGCAGGGAAAAGCTTAGTTGTCAGGAACCCAGCCTCAGGGAAAGAATTGGATGGTGAAACTTGCCTACCACAGACTTGGAGAAACCAGTCCCCATGTGCTTCAATGGAAGAACATTTAAAGAAAATGGACCTACTCTCTGAAATGATCAGGGACAACCAAAGGAGCACTTAAGCACAAAAGGAATGAAGACTGCTTAAGGATTGCAGATAGGTGATCATACTGGGCCCAAAACTGCCTGGCATCAGTGGAAAGGATCTATGGACTTCCTTCAAGGCTAAATAATAACTTTTAGATCAACTACATATGATGATACAGATCAGAACTGGTGAAGAAATCTGTGTGTGGATTCTCTGAGTCTGGGCACAACCATGATGAAAAACCTATTGAAGGGTATTGAGAACAATAGATGGGAAACAGCCCACCCCTCTGCTTGGATTTAACTGTTTTCAATGGTTCAGTTTGTATGGGCCTAGATTAAATAATTTGAATTATCAGAATAAACTCCTAACTTCCTGATTAGGGAAGATGATAAATATTTTAATGTCTCTGCCATATTGAAAGCCTCTGATTAAAGCAAACTATCTTTTAATTTACAGATGATACTAGAAAATAACTTGCAAGCTAGTCACTCATTCATCACCTACCATCTCTTTCATCTGCCTTCTGTAGATAGCGTGCAATAGTATACAATTGTTTTCCTTTACAGATTTCCATTGGAGGTCTCAGCAAAGGGTTATCATCAAAATTTATATCCTTCAGTGAAAAAAGGTTATAGATACCACTAGGCAGAGCTGTAAGGTTGTTTCCTAGTAGAAAAATAATATAATTGAATTATACCTTTCTGTAAAAGAAAACTATGGAGACAAATAACTATATATAGGGCATCTATTGCAGGTATCTCACTGGCAAAGTACCAAAGAACCCTCACAATGCTGGCAAATCATAAGTAAGAACCATAGGTTCTTACTGTCATCCACTTACTAGGAGTGAAAAGGGAGAAATATAGAAACAGCCATGGGTTCCTTTATCTCATAGAGGAAGGCAAAATGAGATAGGAACTTTCCTCTCAAATACAGGAAAGGACTTTACAGAGTAAGTGTAATGGTAATTTTTTAAATTAACTTTTTATTTGGAATAATTTCAGATTTATAGAAAAGCTATAGAAATTGTAGAGAGTTCCTGTATACTCATCTAGTTTTAGTTTCCCCTAATGTTGTCATCTCATGTTACCATTTTACATTTGTCAAATCTATGAAGAAACTAACACTGGTACATTATTATTAAATAAACTTCACACATTTTGGATTTCATTAGATTTTTCATTAATGTCCTTATCCCATTCCGGAATCGATTCCAGGACAGCACACTGCATACTATTATGTCTTCTTCGTCTCCTCTGGTCTTTGACAGTTTCTCAGTCTTTCCTTGTTTTTCATGATGTTGACAGTTTATAGTTGTACTAGTTAGGTATTTTGTAGAATAGTATTTAATTTGTGTTTATCTGACTTTTTAATGATTAGACTGTGGTTATGGGTTTTTGGAAAGAATACCACAGAGATGAAGTACTGTCGTCATATCACATCAGGGGTACCTGATACCCCACGACATCACTTGGGATATTAAACTTGATCCCTTGGCAAAAATAGTGTCTGCCAGGTTTCTCCAACATAAGGTTTGGATTTTTTTTTCTTTCCTGACTCTGTTCTTTGGAACTGAGTTACTAAGTCTAGTCCACCCTTAAGGGGGGGGATTAAGCTAATAATAGTCCTTCAAAATACATGAAAAAAGTTGACAAAGCAAAAAAATATGCAATTTCACAACCAGAGTTGTAGATTTCAACACCCCTCTCTAAGCAATTAACATAGCAAGATAAATGTATCAGTAAAGACAGGAAAGTCCAACAAGACTATCAGTCAACTTGACCTATGTGATATTCATAAAATGCTGTACCTAACACTTGCAGAATATTTTAAGAATAAATGGTATGTTTATTAAGGTAGCCTATGTGCTGAGCCATAAAGCTAGTCTCAATAAATTTAAAAAGATTGAAATCACACAGTTTAGCTGACCAAAAGGAAACAATTGCTTTCCTACTAAATGTTCATCAATAGCAGAATAAATAAAAGAGTATATTCGCATAATGGATTATACATATAGTATTAAGAGTGAATGGTCTACAAATACGAAGAATAATATGAATGAATTTCACAAACATAATGTTGAGTGAAAAAATCCAGAGAGAAAGGAGTATGTACTTTATGATTTCATTTAAGGCACACTATTGAAAATCATGATAGTGGTTAACCTTAGTTGAGAGAAGGAAGAGAAATAATTTGGAAGGGAACAAGAAGGGGTTACTGGGAATGTTCTGTTTCTTGTTCCAGGTCCTGAAATATGGGTTTATTCAGTGTGTGAAAATTTGTTGAGCTGTACACTTACAGTATGTACTTTTTTAAAATTGAGATATAATTGACATAACATTTTCCAGTGTATAGCAATGACTTGATATTTGTATATATTGTGAAATGATCACTACAGTAAGTCTAGTTAATATCCATCACCATTTTTTTCTTGAGATGAGAACTTTTAAGATATACTCTTAGCAACTTTGAAACGTATAATAAATTATTAATTATAGTCATCATACTGTATATTACATCCCCATAACTTATTTTATAACTGGAAATTTGTGCCTTTTGACCCCCGTCACCCATTTTGCCCACCCCTCACCCCCCACACCTCTGACAACCACCAATCTGTTCTATCTATGAATTCAGTTTTTTTTTTAATATTCCACTTACGAGTGAGATCATACAGTATTTGTCTTTCCTGACTTATTTCACTTATCATAATGTCCTCAAGGTTCATCCATGTTGTCACAAATGGCAAGATTTCCTTCTGTTTATGTAGGAATAATATTTCTGTGTGTGTGTGTGTTTGCGTTTGTATACCACATTTTCTTTATTCGTCCATTCATCGATGGACACTTAGCTAAATAATGCTCCAATGAAAATGAGGGTGCATATACCTTTTTGAGTTTCTGATTTTGTTTCCTTCAGAGAAATATTCAGTAGAATTGCTGAATCATATGGTAGGTTCTATTTTTAATTTTAATTTTTGAGGCAAGATGTACTTTTTTGCTATATATATATATATATACACACACACACACACACACATATACACACACACACACGCATACACATACACACACATCAATAAAAAGTATTTGAAAATACTGGCAATAACAAAGGTAGGAGAGAGAGGCTGTTACATCAGTCCATAAACAGTGGTGATATTCAAAATATATAACTGTTTAGCACAGGCACTGACCATAAGAATGGATGTCAGCTGTAAACAACAAATAACTATACTGCATAGCTAGCTGTCTTGCAGGTAGGATATAATGAAAGCCTGCATGGATAGCATTATCAATGTAGATCTGTATAGAGAACTGTGAGGTTCTTCTCCCTGAGAATAACTACAAGCAGCTTACATGTCCATCTACCTTCCTTTCATTTGGTATTTTGGCTCCTTGGAAGAGAGGCGCTAACACCTGTTAAAAACCTACACCGCATCGATTTTTGTGCTTAGTGATTGATCACTTAATGCTCACAGTCCAAAGAGTTTATATTATTATTTCCATTTTCAGATTAGGCAACAAAAGCCTAACATTAAAAAAAGATAACTTTCTAGTGAATGATGGAGCTAGAATTCTAAGGTCTGTTTTACTCCAAAGCTTATGCTATGAGAAAAGAAAGGGATTAATATCTAAATGTCTTTCATTGGTATAATGTTTCACATTTGTCAAAATGTTTTCGTAAGTTTTGTTTAATTATATTCTCACAACAACTGTATGGACAAGCAGAAGTTTAGCTTTCTTGTCTTGCTGATGAAAAAACTGAGGCTCAGAGAGGTTGTCTCCCTAAATTCGCTACAGTTAGTGACAGAGGGAGTTTATTCACAAGATGTCTCTTTTTTAAAGATGCCTTTTGTTTGAATAGTGCTTTGACAGTATGCTACCTGCTTTCAAAAATCTCATTCAGTCACAAACCAAACCTATGACATGGGTATTCCTATTACCTTCATTTTATAAATGGAGGAAACATTAAATTACAAGACGTGAATTCAGCCCTTCTAACTTCAAATTCAGCAATAAAAGTTGGTGACCATGGGCATGCCAATTGTTTAGCAATTGTCTTTTACCTCCAGACCTACCTCTGGTCTTCTTGACTGTTTTTCCTTGAGTGTCACCCCAGCAACACTCTTTTATCCCACCAGCAACAGTTCTTTCCCATTGGAACGACATAATTCAGTTTGCTGTTTTCCCAACACTTTGTCACACACAAGCACACATACCCCAGTCCCATGCTCAGAGAAACCAGCACCTGCTAAGCAGTGCTCCATCCTCAGATGTGCGGCCCCTCCTCCAAACTTTTACGTTTTAATAATTTCAACTTTACTTTATTCCCTCAGCCAATGTGTGGTTATTGCTCTCTGCCATTGCTATCCTTATGATAATCTTAGAATTCTCATTTTACTCTTTCACTTATGTAGTTAGTAACATATTTGGTCATTAACTAAGGCATAGTTTCTGTCTCCTGATTGGATCTGACTGATATATTTTTCTAATTCCGATGCGGACTAACAGAGAGCTGACTAAGCTTGGAGCAGAGTCTATGCTCTTCCCATTCGCTGTCTTGATTCTGTAATAGAAGGCCTCCAGAGAGTTATGATTCTAGTTAGGGGTTGTGTTCTCCAGTGGACCAGGAGGCTCTGGTCAGCCTTTGTTTTTTTCATGTACAAATAGTAGGTGAGTGGAGTATGTCCTGTCATGCACTTGGACAAATAAATAACCTCCCTAAAATACAGTAAACCTTTGCCATAACATAAAAGTGGGACCGAAAAATTCAATTGCAGAGCTGAATTATTGTGAGTTAGTGCAAAATTAATGAAATAACTGATGTGTACCTGCACAGTCAGCTTACAAGGAGTCCTATGGACTCAGGAGACAAATGCCCATTGCATTATTCTAAGTATTGATGCATTACTGTAGGTTTTACTGTACTATTGGTATCATGATAACAAAAAGATGAACTTTGTTTTTAATCTGGAAATCCTCTAAATCTAAGACAGCTCTAGTTATAAATGTTACTTCCAATGGAAAGATAAAATTTTATGAACTCAACTGGTCTTGTGGTTAGCTAGTACACAGCCTCTATAGAGATCAATTTACCCAAATCTAGTAACGTTGAAGATGTATGTACCATGTGACCCAGCAATTTTACTTATAGCTATGTGCACTAAAGAAATTCAGGCAAAAGTATACTAAGAACATGTACAAGGATGTTTTTAGTAGCAAACAAATTGGAAACAATTGTCTATCAACAAGGTAATGGGTTTCTGTTTAACCATATAATTGAATATTATACAGCATTTAAAATGAGTGAAATAGGTCTATATATATTTACATGGATTAATTTTAGAAATATAATAAATGAGGAAAACAAGTTACAGAATGGTAAATTACATTCTGTAGTATAAGATTTAATAAAGTTAAAAAAATCAAATAGTACTACTTTTTATGGATATATATACACATACATTTACATATATATGTATAAAAACATGGATGGTTACTTCTAGTTTGAAGAGAGATACAAAAAGCTTCAACTCTATTATTTAATTTCTTAATAATCAAAAATGTCCCAAGTAAATATCACAAAATCTTAACATTATATCTAGAAATAGGTACATAGGTATTTATTATTTTTTGTAAGTTTGAAATATTTCATAATAAAAATAATTTTAAAAAATACAAGTCTAGTATTTGTCATGCTTTGGAAAGTCTCTTTTAGTATCTTTAGAGTAAGTGGTTTACTTATTTTTCTTTGTTTTTGTAGTGATTTACTTTGTAAAAGGCTGTGAAGTATTGCAATATTATAGGGTATAGAAGTGGAACCAGGGGAGCCAGCAGAGAAAGGAAAACAGAGAAAATGCTGATCTAAGGTTGTATAGGTAGATGTGTGTATAGAGGGACGAGGTCAGTTTCAGAAAGGGAAGAAATATTGAATGACTGGGTATAGGCAGAGAAGATAGGAAAGAAATGAAAATGTGTTTAGGTCCCCCAGCTGGATAATAACCTCTTTCAGGGAAGGAACTGGACCTTATGCTTTGCTCACATTTTCTTTATCTATGGTAGCCATTTCCTTCCAATGGGCACTTAATACATTATGCTGACTGTTTGCCGTTCTGTTTTGTCAGTAAATTTTGCAACCTAGACACTAATACTCTACTTACTTATTGTAATTGACACTCACCACTCAAGTTTAGTTGCTGGAGATCATTTAAAGATAGAAACGATGGTGGCAGGTAACTTATTTGATTGTTGTATGCGTTTAAACTAACCAAACTTTTCAATTCCCCTATATTTCTTGGAATTTCTCTGATTGCATTATTTGAGATATCAAGTCTTTTAAGTTGAGTCATATTAAACAGCTCTTCTGGAAGTCTTGTTAACTGTAACAAAGATTAATCAATTATATTTTAAATAAATATTTCTTAATTAAAACTTTTTCTAAAATCAGTGGACGGAGGGATTTTTTTTAATCTTAAAAAGGTATTTTCACTATGTCACAAATTCTTTTGTGACTCCCTTGCTAAAGCCCACAGCATCCAAGTGCCTCCCCAGTCCGAGCCATGCTACTATGAATTCAACCATGGGCTAACCCATTTTCCACACTCTAAACACTCAGAGTTTATTGCCACCTTATCCCTCTCTTCCCTCCCTAAATCTGACCTCGCTTTGGCTTATTCTCTTCCCTGAAGACTTTCTCAATTATACTATCCCACACTTGATCTCTTTTTTCCTATTCTCAACAACATTGCTTTTTTATTTCGTCCCTTGTGTGTTGTCCTTGGATTTTTAAATGACATGATGTACTTTTTATACTTTTTATGTGCATGTTCCTAAGCATGATGAATTTTGAGTAAATATTCAATAAACACCTTTAGAATGAAGTCACATAGTTTGGCAATGTAGCCTCAAATGAAAATTCCTTGTACAAAAATACTGCAGGATAGCAGGAATTAAGATACTCTGCTAAGGTGACAAAAAAATATGTACATTCAGAGAAATAAGGCCATCACAAGTGGTTTTGAAATAAAGGAAGTTCTATGAGTAAACAAAAGAAGTATTAATATATGAGTCCCTCAGAAATATCCAAACAAGATAAATATTAGATATGGCGCTTAGTGTTCTTCCAGCTGTAAAAGAAGCATAAGAGACAGTCCTTAACTTTAAGAAGGTTAAAATTTAATTCATGGAATAAAATATATGTATATGAAACAATTAGGAAACAGCATTAAGTAATAGGTAGTACAATGCCAAAATAAAGACTACAAAAACAAATATATGGAAGTTTAGAGAATGTCTATCAGTACAAATCCAGAGAACTAAAGGAAAGCTTCATGTTGCAGATGGGACTAGAATGGCCTCCTAAGAATGAATAGGATTGGATAGAAGTTACAGGACACTTAAGGCAAGACAAATATCATGTATAAAGACAACCAATGAGAAGCTGACCAGTAAAGAGAGGTGATAGGAAGCAAGAGGGAGATATGTTTGGAAAAGGAACATGGAACCAGGCTATGACAAGACTTGAGAGCTGGGGCTGTAAGGAAGGAGGCAGATCAAGACAGGTGGGCAGGTCCATAGTTTCACATTCTTTCAGACAAATATTCCTTAACTTCTAGCTCAACATTTATTAGAGGAAATGCCTGAGAACTATGTGATGATAGAGCTACTATGGAAAGAAGATTCCTTTTGTGCATCCTTCAGTTAGCAAAATAAAAGCCCAGTGATTAATCTGACTCTTCTTTCTCAGATGACTGTTTAGTGACCATATGGTGTTATATAAATTAATCCTTTGGGTATGTCACTTCCACCCCAAGAGGTTATCAAATTGATCTTTACAATTAAATAGGATATTCTTCTTGAGAGAAGTTTGGGTAAATCATTTTTTTTCCATCTGGTGAACTTTGAAATGATGTTGTAATAATATGGTCTGATGCCTTTGGCAACCACCCACCACAAGTAGGTAATAGATATGCAATCTGGATTCCTGAGAACAGTCCTCTGGAATGAAGTCTGATAGTTTTGACAAGTCTTGATAAAAGGGAGGAACCTGAATGAAAGAATAGTCAGGAGGCTCCTAGAATAGTCTAGGCATGAAATGAATGATGACCATGGACCAGAATGGAGACAGTGATGCTGGGAAATAAGGGAGATGATCCAAGAGCTTTCTCAGAGAAAAAATGAGACAATTTTGGTGTAAGATTTAGTATATTGATGATGGAAAAGATATGGTCAAAGATGATTCCATGATTTCTAGGTTGGCAGATTTAAAGAAAATGGCATCACAAACAAATGGAGAGGTTTTAATGGGAATTACATTGGAAAGAGAGATGAGTATGAAGTTATGTTGAGTGCGAATCAATAGAAGAATAAAAGAACGGACTTTCCAGGGAAATTAGAAACTATAGGACTAGCCCACTGGAGAGAAATTGGCTCCAGTAGCTAGCTAGGTCATGTGCATAGTGTGGTGAGGTCTAGGAAGGAATTAATAAAAAAGAGAAAATTAAGGACATAACCCGTGGACTTCCACAGTAATATATAGGCCAAAGAATTAGTTGAATATAATGCAGAAAAAATTGCCTTTTAATATAAAAGCAACTTTTAAAACACAACATATATCATTATTCATTCCATCTAACTTAAGCAACTATTCCCTGGAGTAGTCTTTCTGGAAATGTACTGTATAGCAGGTGTATGTTTAAAAAAAAAAGGTCAAATAAATTTAGCAGTTATGGTTTAATTAGTTAAAAACTATTTTCTTCCGTTAGGGTTACTTCATGTCTTTCAGCTACTTACTGTCTTTTATGTTGAGTGCGAATCAATAGAAGAATAAAAGAACGGACTTTCCAGGGAAATTAGAAACTATAGGACTAGCCCACTGGAGAGAAATTGGCTCCAGTAGCTAGCTAGGTCATGTGCATAGTGTGGTGAGGTCTAGGAAGGAATTAATATAAAAGAGAAAATTAAGGACATAACCCGTGGACTTCCACAGTAATATATAGGCCAAAGAATTAGTTGAATATAATGCAGAAAAAATTGCCTTTTAATATAAAAGCAACTTTTAAAACACAACATATATCATTATTCATTCCATCTAACTTAAGCAACTATTCCCTGGAGTAGTCTTTCTGGAAATGTACTGTATAGCAGGTGTATGTTTAAAAAAAAAAGGTCAAATAAATTTAGGAATTATGGGTTAAATAGATACAAACCAGTTTATTTAGTGCAGATTTCTTCAGAGCTTTTGATGTATTAGTGTTCATTGTGATTCTCTAAGAATCCCATGCTTTTCAAGGCTATATGATAATAGGAACCCCACTACTTATATATTTTTTGAAGAGCAATTCATGGCACTAGTTATTTCTAGGAACAGGCTTTGGGATCTTGCTGTAGATAATAAGCCTCTGTCAAAGGCCTTTAATTTGACTGTGATGGCCAAATTAAAGATAACCAGATAATAGCCATATCCTTTTCATTAATATGTCTTAATATAAATCAGGAATGTTTTGATTTTTAAAAAGTATTTCATAAAATTCACTCTTAGAGTTTGAGTCAAATTAAATGTTAACTATAAGAACATTTATTCCCTTTGATCTAGTTTTTAAGGGAAAATTCACTAAGGAAATAATAAAATATGAAAAAGGCTATATTTATGAAGAAGTTCATCACAGCATTATTTATAATGATGATAAATTACAACACCCCTAAGTACTTAACAGAGGGTTAGTTACATAAATCATGTATTAGTTATAACAATTATTGGGAAGATTATGTGTATCATGGGGAAATGCTTATGATACATTAAGTGAAAGTAGAAGAATTTAAACTTGAATGTACAATCTTTTTATACTTTCTTATAAAACCATATACATAAGAAAAAAAAGACTAAAAGTAAGTTGTCAACATACGACCAGTACTGGTCGATATATGGCCAATAGTTATGTTACAGTGATGTGCTTGTGGAATGATTATGTACCTGTGAAATGATTTTTTCCTTTTACTTTTCTCAATTTTCCAAATTTCCAATAATGTTTATATTAACCCATAACTTTAAAACTCCTTTTATAATTAAGCTGAAATAAAAAGGAATGTATAAAATTTTCAGCTTTACCTGGCATTTCATTTTAATGAAATATTTTCCTATAAAGATTTTGAATTGAGAAGTATATTTATAAGCCATTTTTGGGTTATAAAAATAAAACCTATCCTTTAAAAAATAAAATATTCCAGCTAAATTTAAAATAAACATACACATACACTACAACTTAGACTCAGATCCCCTCCAGTCCCACCTTCCCCACAAAGCCCAAAATATCAGTCTTACCTTTGTCCCATTTATCTGACTTATATTCAGCTCTTCCAGTGATTGAAGTTGACACAGTTCAATAGGAAAATATATAAATTGATTGTTTGAGATGTTTAATTTCTGGATTCCTTTTAAGTTACAGATCTCTGAAGGGATCTTCTTTATTTGGTTTTCAGAAAAATCAAGTACTTGCAAATTTGCTAAAGTACACACGTCTATAGGGAAAGTTTCAAATTTATTACAGCATAAAATAAGAACATGGAGTGATGCCATATTGGAAATACATGCTGGAATTTTCCTTATTTGGTTTTTACCAAGATCCAGATATTGAAGTTTAATAAGAGAACATAAGTGCTCAGAAAATATGAGGAGTTTGTTTTCATTAAACTCTAAATGAAGCAGTTGTTTACTGAAAGATATATCCACAGGTACTTCTGAAATATAGTTTCCATTAATATTCAAATAATGAAGAGAATCTAAAGCACACAAACCTACTGGAAAATGTATTATCTTATTATAACTCAGTTTAACTTTAGTTATTTTTCTGCAGTTTTTTATTTCAATGGGAACATCAGTGATTATATTTCCTGAAAATTCTAGACTGAACATATTATTAAGATATGAGATATCTTCAGGTATTCTCACTATATTATTTCTGTTTACATGGAGTTTTCTTAAACTTTTAAGCTTGTGGATGTTCTTAGGAAGTTCTGTTAATTTATTATCACTAAGACTAAGGCATTCCAACATTACACAGTGGGAAATTTTCTCTGGTATTTCTTTCAATAAATTTTTATCAAGAATTAGAATCCTAAGTTCCTTGAAGTTCTCAATTTTGTGTGAAATCACTTCTATTTTATTGTCAGTCAGTTGGAGTTCTTGCATTTTGAGCAATCTAAAAATTTCCACTGGCAAAAATGTAAGTTTATTATGATCCATTAAAAGTTTTTCTAAATTTTTAAGCTCCCTAATTTCTTTCGGCAAACTGCTTATCAGGTTTCCAGTAAGGTTTAGTGAAATTAACTTTGGAAGGAAGCACAGAACTTTAGGAAATATTGTTAACTGATTATATTCCAGATTGAGAACACTCAAGTTTTTCAAAATACACAGAGTATTTGGTATATATCTTAAGTTATTTTTAGCCAGACTTAAAATTTCCAAGTTTCTAAGACTTTCTAAGCCAGAAGGAAAATTCTCAATGTAATTGTTATTTAAAAAGAGCTGCCTGATATTCCTCAGCTGTGATATTTCTTTAGGTATATGTGATATTTGGTTGTGACTAACATTTAATATCTTTAAATTATGAAGTAATTGAATTTCAGATGGAAATGTTGATAATCCATTATCTTGCAAGGATAGAATTTCAAGTCCTGTCAGGTCACATGATTCTGCTCCTTCAAAACTTTTGATTTGGTTCTCATCTAAATATAGGTATTTTACATATTTTATTTTTAAAATGTCCTTAGGGAATTCTTGTAAACCCTTGGCCTTGAGGTTAACTGTAAAGTTATCTAACCCTAAGTCAACTCCTTTCTGATTTTCTTCAGTGAGTTGTGGACTAATTTTTCCTAATGTTTCATGAGCTAGGAAGTCAGCAGAAATTTCAGATTCAGCAGTCATCTCATTTACCGATAATGTTTCAGTTATTAATTGTGAGCTGTCATATCTAGTGATTGTTTTAGAAATTTGAAGAGTTTTCTTTTCTTCTTCATTTCTCTTAGATTTGCTTCCAGAGGAAGATGTCGATGTATTGTCATGTATCTCTAAGGTATCATTTCTAGGATCTGTTTTACAAATCTGGTCACGAGGTTCCTCTTCAGAAGCTTCCTTTAACAAATTTGATGTTTCTTTAATAAACCCAGGTTCCTCCACCAACTGTAAATTAGATTCTTCCCTAAACTGACTAGTGATATTCTCTGCCTCTGCTGAAGTATCCTCCTTTTCAGACATCTTATTTACTGATATGTTTTATACCAATACAAGATTGTAACTCGATTTTAATTTTCATGTTTAATTTTTTCCTTTGAACCTAGAGAAGAAATGTTGATATTAAAAGAAGAGATGTAATAAAAATGTCACAATTATAAATAAATTTAAATACATTTTTATTCTATAATGAATAATAAGTATAAAAACTACATTTATAACTAATAAACTAATATATATATATGATTACTGGTTAAGGATAGTTTATTGATCACATGATACTCTTGAAATCACATTAAAATTATAGAAAGAAATGGAAAAGATTGACAAATTAGAAATGAGACACAAGGGAATGAAAGAATTCAGCAAATTTCTGAAAGACAGAAAGAGGATAGCCAGGGCCCCCCTATGCCACATGCAGAGTGCCATTTGCATTGTGGACATGGTAAGTCTAAAATGTCTTGTCCCAACAAATTCAGTACCTCATGACAATTTCCAAAATAGCTAGAAGTAAAATGTCAAGGGAAGAGGGGTTGCTTTCTGTAAGAATAAACTAGAAGTAAAACAACCTTTTGTGCGACTCCTGAGGTACTGGCACAGCTGAGCAGCACCCCTCAGACGTCTGGGTCCCAGCTTCTGTAGGTCCCGTTTCCAAATTTGTAGTTTTTAATAGCTCAGCCCCTTTCCTTTGTCCCTTCATCCCCAGGGTGGCAGTTATTTCCTAGATGTATTATTTCTGTTTTACTGCAGTTCCTTATCTTTTCAGTTCTCCAATACTTATCTACACAACTTCCTAAATTAAATTATTTCTACTATACTGGGATGGTTTTAATATTTCACAAATTCTTCAAGAGAATAGAAAAAGAGGAACATTTTCCAACTTTCTTTATGCAACTAGCACTTATTTTTACATCAACACCTAATGAGAACAATATGAAAAAAAATTACAGGCCCGTTTTACTCAAGGCAAAAATGCAAAAATTCTAAACATTAAAAAAACTTCTAAATATTATAAAAACCAGCAATATATAAAAAGGAGAATATTTTGTGACTAAGTTACATTTGTCCCAGAAATACAAGTTTGGATTTTAACATTAGAAAATCAACATAATTTGCCACACTAAGAAATTAAAGGAGAAAAACCATATGATCATTTGATTAGATGCAGAGCACTTGATAAATTGCAACATTTTTCATGATTTAATAGAAACTTTTAGCAAACTAGAATAGATGAGAATTTCCTCAATCTGCTAAAGGACAGCCATAAAAAATCTACAGTAAATTCACTGTTTCACCACTAGGTGTGATCAACTTTTCTTTGACGGTAGAGGCAAGAAAATGTTGCCCTCTATCATTTCTATTCGACATTGTACTGGCAATCTTAGCCAGTGGCATAAGGCAAGGGAAAAAGATATAAATCTGCCATTAGTCACAGATAATATAATTATGTGTGTAGAAAATCTAAGATCATCTGCAGGTAAATTATTAGAATCAATAAGAACATTAAGCAATGTTGCTGAATACAAAGTCAACATACCAAAGTCAATTTCCTTTCTGATGTTAACAAAAAGGAGTTAGTAAATGAAGGTTTAAGGAGGTATCATATACAGTCAAATATTGAGTAGGAATAAATCTAACAAAAATGTGCAAGACTTTTACAGAAAAAATTGCTACTTAATGTAACTACAAAATGTAATAATTAGAGATGACCTAAATAAATAGAGAGGTATTCCTTTCAAATTGATCTATATTGTAAATACAATTCAAATCGAAATCCTAATGTTATTTTTGTGGAACTTGATGATCTGATTCTTACAAGTATTTGGACAAATAAGGGCCAAGAATAGTCATAATACTCTTAAAGAAGGAAAACCAGGTGGGAGGACTTGCTTGCTGAATATCAAGACTTATTATAAAGCTACAGTAAATAAGGTGATATGGTATTGGTAAAAGAATATACAAATAGATCAGTAGAATATGTAGAAAGCCCAAAAACAGACATTTGATTGACATATGGATACTTGATTTATGAAAAAGATGGGACTTTGGAGCACTGGAAAAAAGATGGCCTTTTTAACAATGATGCTAGGAAAACTGGACAATTAGTGAAGTGGAAAATATGTCTGAAAGATATATCCAAAATGTAGTAAAAAGGGATAAGGAGATGAAAAAAATATAAATAAGCACATGGAAAATATAATGAGAAGGACTAACATATATCCAATTAGAGTTCCAGAAGGAGAAAGTGGAGAAAATGGAAGAAAGGGAATATTTAAAGAAGCAATGGGTATGAATGTTCCAGAACTGAAGTAAATATGAATCCACATATCCATAATGTACAACATATCCAAAGCATCTAAAGTTTCATCTGAAACTACAGAACAATACAAACAATTAAAATATCATGAGAGTAGTCAGAGAGACGGGAGGGGACACTAAAAAGGAACGGCAAGATAAGACTAGACTATAGCGAAAGCTAGAGGACAATGGAAGAACTTATTCAAAATATTGAAAGTCACTATTAACCTAGAATTGGGCATCCAGCCAAATTAGCATTCAAAAGTAAAAGGAAAATAAAAACACTTGAAAAAAAATTGGGAACTTGCTCTAAAGGAACTTCTAAAAGATGTTCTTTAAGGAAGAGAAAAAGATAACAGAGGATGGGCCGAAATTCAAGAGGGCATAGAGAGCAAAAGAAATGGTAGACACATATGTAAATTAAAATAAATAATGGGTCTGTGTAAAACAATAATAGTCTCTCATGTATGGCATTAAAGAAGACAATAGTTTGTGAGTCAGCTATCTCCCTGAATATATTTATTAATTATAGGGAGTAATGGTAACTTGACACTGTAGAGGCCCAGTAGACACCACCTTTGTCAAGTGGTTAAAGTCAACATCACCAGTATATCATGTACTCCCGGATACAGGGGACTGAGAAGTGCACATCACTTCTGTGGTATTCTTGCGAAAAGTGCATAACCCCAGTCTAATCAGGAAAAAACAGCAGACAAATCCAAATTGATGGGCATTCTGCAAAAAAAACTAACCAGTACTCTTCAAATGATAAAAGACCAGGAAAGACTCAGAAACCGTCACAGATTGGTGGAGACTAAGGAGACATGACTAATTGAATTTAATATGTGATCCTTGATTAGACCCTGGAACAGAAAAAAAGGTAGTAAAAAAACATAAATTCCAAATGAAGTCTGTAGTTTAGTTAGTATTATACCAATGTAAATATTTTTGTTTTGGCAACTGTATTATGATTATTTTAATATCGGGGAACCTGAGCGAAGGTTAGAAGGGAATTCTCTTTACTATTATTGCAACTTTTCTATACATCTAAAATTACTTCAGAATAAAAGGACCTCAGCTAAGATGTTCTGAAATCTTTTTTATCTGAGGTAGATGGAAGTCGTTTGGGTTTATGACTGTGTTAGGCATGCTTGATAAAATTTGATAAATTTTAAGAGTTATTATTAGAAGAATAAAACTGGAGGAACTAAATTCGACTTTTAGAGAGAAAAACTTTAAATAAGAGAAAAAACAGAAGAAGAACAAAAACAAAATTCAGTCAGATTTTTTAAAAAGTAATAAAGAAAAAAAGAAGAAACTAGATAAAATTTTTAAATAAGATAGAGATGAGTCCAAATATGTCACTAATCAAAATAAATGTGACTGGACTAAATAACCAATTAAAATTCAGATTTGTAATAAACAAAATCTAAGTGCTATGTTTGAAAGATGCCTCTATAGCATATGATCACAGAAAGGATGGAGCCCGTGCATATATGGACCTTGATTTATGACAAAGACACAAAGCACTGGGGAAAGAATAGCTTTTGATTCTGGGTCAACTGGGAATCCGTATAGAAAGAAAAATATATTTGACCCCTATCTCTCCATGCGCAAAAATCAATTTAGATGGAATATAGATTTAAATGTGAAAAATAAAACAATAAGACTCCAAATAGATTATATATAGAAAGATGTATTCATGACATTAGGATAGAGAATGAATTCTTAAGTGGACACAAAAAGCATTGTGCATTAATAGCAACAGATTGGAAATAACGTAAATGTCAATAATAGAAGACATGTTAAATAAATTATATCCATGCATAGATCTAACTTAAACATAACCTTAACCACACCAGGCTGGGCTGAGGTTTAATCAATATACATTTGGTTTTTACTTTAACTTAGTGTTAAATATTATTAAAATCTGTGCCCAAATGATCTCCATAAGTTTCTCAAAATGTATGGCTTATGGCTTTAAGTATAATTTTAACTATGGCTTAGTCAAAGTATTTGGGTTTATAGTTTTCTATTTCCATAGTGTATTTTGTCATATTTTAATTTTATGGTTTTCATTTGTTGTACCTTAAGAAAGTCTATAATTACTTCTGAATCGATCAGGATTCCAAAGGAAAGACACGATCCACTCAAATTGAGTAATTTGAGGAAAGTTTAACAGAGCGCTTACTAAGGTGTGGATAGAGAGAGTGTAGGGA